TTAATAAACTACTACATTAAAAAAAATGTTATAGTCCTAAAGTTCGTACTTTCCTCTTTATAGTGGTAATTTTTTTTCCAACTCTTAACTTCTTGTGTAATAATTTTTAAAAAGAGAATGTTTTTGCTAAAAAAAATCAAACTGATTCAAAAACTAAGCAAAATCGACTAATAGAAGTTTAGTTTGACTCTATTTATTTCTGTTGGAAAAATACTTTTCCAAGTTTTTTTTGTTACAAGCTATTAGAAGAGGAATCAAGGAAACTGTAACCTAAATTGTATCTCTGTTTAATGTTATTGTGGCTTTTATTGGCAAAATTTTTGTATCTTTACTAAATAATTATAAAAAACATATACAAGATCATCAGTATCATTAAATAGATACAAAAAAATGTCAAATGCCAAAAAATAAATGTCAAAATTTTTTGACAGATAGAATTTTTTAAACATTTTTTCCATGTTCCTGGTATCTTATTTTACTTGAATTTTGTCTCTGGGGCGCGAGTTCTGGCGCACGCTGTATGTATTTCCTTCAAAAAACATAAATTTGTATTGTAACTTATTTTTGGGACAACCTGTATAATCAAAATTTTTTTCTTGAAATGCCCTTTATAAATAAAGTTTATAAAATATCAAAATTCCCACTTAAATAATAATTGAGCTACAGAATACCGGAGCTGAGATGAATCACCCTGTATTCATATAGCATAAAAAAAGAGTTATTTTTATGTAAATTGGACTATTTATGTGTTCTCATAAACTTAATGAAATATTAAAATTTTGTGACTATTGCATAAATACTTTATGAATAATTGAAAAATGATTTCATTTCACTTTGTATATTTCGATAAAATGTATTTTAATTTTTTGTGAAGATTTGTAAAAAGTTGGGCCAACTAAGCAGCCTATCTCTACTTATATATTAAAATATTAAAATTTTGTAACGATCGTATAAATACTTTATGAATTATTGATAAATCATTTCATTTCACTTTGTATATTTTCGATAAAATGTATTTTAATTTTTTGTGAATATTTGCAAAAAGTTTAGGCCAACTAAGCAGCCTATCCCTACTTACACATCCTTGAGATTCTCCCTATAAGGCTTCAGCTCGTCCTTCCTAATCCTCTTGATATCCGAATCGGTGATCACAAGTTTAGTTAAAGTTTTATTAAGAAAATCAGGGATGTGTTGCAGTTCCTTCCCTGAGCAGGTGCACTCGACATCAACTTGGAAATTTTCAGTGGTGTTATAACACTCGCAAGTGCAAGGTTGCGTTTCATGAGGCTCCACTTTTGATACAAAAGCGGTCTCTTCGGGCAATTTGTGCAACATTTCGATTCCTACTACTGCACTCACAAGCCAAATCATGAACACACAAAGGATCATGATCTGAAACAAATCGAACTTTGGGAGACAATTCAATTAAACTTTTTTATTACTTAATTAAGCGTTCATCGAATTTTTTACAAAACGTAATCCGTTTAAATGTAAAAAAGTCAATTAAAGCAAACTGCACGAAATAAATCGAATTAAGTTGTTTTGACACGGCTTGAGATGGGAGCTTTACCACACAAAAATTATTATTTTCTAGTGGCACCACATTCAAAAATTCTTTAAAAAATTGAAACTTTTTTTCATACACCTTCTAAAAATTAAATGTACAGGTATGTACAAATCGCTGAATTTGTTTGTTGCATTATTTGAGTTAATTTTCGTTAATTTTGTTGTTATTTAAGGTCAGATTTAATCGTTTAAAATAACAGTGATTTTACACTTAAAGCAGTTAAGGTTTTTCCTTCTAAATTATACCATCTGAGAGTAAATAAAAATATTTACATTAGAAAAGTGGTCTCAGCATATTTTATTTGCAGTTCTATTAATTAATATATTGTTGTTTAATTTATGGCTAAAAAGCCTATTGAATAGAAATATCTAGTTTGAAATTGTTCAGCAATACTAAAATAGGCTAGTGTTATTACTGCGTTGCTAATTAGTTAATATTAACTTTTAATAATTTAATTTTAGAAACTTGTCAAATTTGCAACAGCACATAATTTTTTTAGCTTCTATAATATGTAATTGTTTAACGAGTATATACAGAATGTCCCAGAGCTCCGTATTTCTTCGATTACTTTGACAGTAAGGAAGATAACGAAATGCGGTCTCTTTTGGACGATAGTCCAAAAATATTTTTGTTATTATAGGTAATTTCTATACAGGGTGCACCAGAACTCGCGCCCCAGAGAAAAATGGCATATAAGGTAAGATACCAGGAACATGGAAAAATGTTAAAAAAAAATTATCTATAAAAATTTCGAAGTTATGAGGGTTTAAAGTTTGCACTTTAACTCTATTTATTTCTGTTGTAAAAATAATTTTCCAAGTTTTTTGCTACAGGCTATTAGAAGAGGAAACAAAGACGCTGTAAATTGTAACTCTGTTCAATGTTATTTGTGGCTTTTATTGGCAAAATTTTTGTCCCTTTACTAAATAATTGTAAAAAAACATATACAAGATCATCAGTATCATTAAATAGACATAAAAAAATGTCAAATGTCAAAAAATAATTTTCATGTTTCTGGTATCTTACCTTACTTGAAAATTTTCTCTGGGGCGCGAGTTCTGGCGCACCTGTATAGGATGGCGCAACAAAGTTATATTTTTTCTTATGGAACACCCGGTATATTATGAGCTTATTTGAAAGAGTTTTTAATTCTAAGAATATCCATATTAGATTTTAGGGGTCTATCATGGACCAAACTTGATTTTTAGGGCTAAATAGAATAATTTAAAATTTTGTAGGTTTAAAGGGTGTACAATAAAACAGGTAAAGTTTAGACCTCCAAACCCTAGGTTTTTTAGAAAGCTTATTAAAAGCTCTACTCGATAAAGTAATAACATACAGGGTGTTTTATTTAAAAAAATCAAGTTACCTGATATTTTGCAAATGTCAACACTCTTGCAGTAGTTGCAAAAGATTGTTCAAATTTCAACCATAATAATTTAGGACCAGAATCAGTAAAAATGGTTGCAATTGTTTTTATTCACTTTTTCTTTCTAGCAAAGCCGTTGTGATTTTTCAAAAATGGTATTTTTTTCCATAAAATTGCCCATAAATGATAAACGGTCCGTGATAGACCCATAAAACCTAATATGGATATTCTTAGAATTAAAAACTCTTCAAATAAGCACATAATATACCAGGTGTTCCATAAGAAAAAATATAACTTTGTGCGCTACCCTATATAGGGTGCGCCAGAACTCGCGCCCCAGAGAAAAATGCCATATAAGGTAAGAACCCAGGAACATAGAAAAAATGTTAAAAAAATTTTATCTATAAAAATTTCAAAGTTATTAGGGTTTAAATTTTGCACTTTGACTCTATTTATTTCTGTTGGAAAAAGAATTTTCCAAGTTTTTTTGCTACAGGCTATTAAAAGAGCAAACAAGAAAGCTGTATCCAAAATTGTAACTATGTTCAATGCTATTTGTGGCTTTTATTGGCAAAATTTTTGTACCTTTACTAAATAATTGTAAAAAAATATATACAAGATCATCAGTATTATTAAATACACATAAAAAATGTCAAATGTCAAAAAATAAATGACAGATAGAATTTTTTAAACATTTTTTTGTTCCAGGTATCTTATCGTACTTGAAATTTTTCTCTGGGGCGCGAGTTCTGGCGCACCCTGTATAGGAATTAATGACGAAAATATTTTTGAACTATAGAAAAAATGAATGTCTATCGTCCAAAAGAAACTGCATTTTGTTATCTTCTTTATTGTCAGAGTAATCGAAGAAACACGGAGTTCTGAGACAGCCTGTATTTTTGAAAATAACATCTCAATTTATTGTTTTACCTTTTACGTAATATTAGATTTTCAATTTGCATTCTTTTGACACATTTTAATTTAAACAAAATGACATTCTTTGTGCAATTTAATTTCTTTGAAGTCCTGCAACAGTTTAACAAATTTATTATTAATAGAGTTTTCTTGTCTTCCGCTTTTTAAACATTTAGTTACAAACAGAGCAAAAATTTTAAATAAATTATCATTTATTCTGACACCACTTGGTGTGGTATTTTCATGAATATGTAAATGAATATTTTCAAGAGTAAGCACTAAACAAATCACAAATCTGATTTTCCCCAACATTGTTTTTGGGTATTTTGTATACGATCTTGGTAAATATCGCAAGGTTTACAATACAATTAAACGAATTTAATAACAAGTTCATAGTGTTACATAATTCAACAAGGTTGTTTTCTGTTGTTTTTCAGTTTAGTGTAATTATTACAAAGTAAAGAAAAGTCTGCAAATTTAAAATTTACCATTGTTAGTCCAATTCTCACTTATTAATATCAAACTCAAATACAATAATTTGATTGGAAATTTGGCCCTTGAAACCGTTTCGTTACACTAAAGTGACTTTTATTTTCAGCTCAGCTCCTTGGACTTTGAATAAAATAGAGCAAATTTAATTAAATGAGTCTAGAAAAATGTTTTAGCTTCTTACCCGTTGCCTCAAACAACAAATTAGTACAATTATTACCGCAAATAGAACTCTTCAACAACACCGTATAATATTTGTGTAAACCAGACAAATATTGACCCAAAACCTATCGCACTCCTCGGTAGAAAAATTTCAGTTTTGCAATACCTTATTCTTGCAACAATCGCAGGAAGAGATAAGATTTTATCGAGTTTGCGCAATAATGTTGATTTAAAAGGGCCGCGAACTGTTTAATTTTGAAATATATTGTTAATAAAAAGTATTTGAACGGCAAACCACATAAATAATCAAAAACGTCACGAAAAAGTAAAGCACTCATTGTGAGTGTTTTTGACGTCATTTTTGATCCTCGAAGTGTCAAGTTATTAATAAAAATGCCCGAGTATTTAACCCAAAGGCACTCCAATTAACTCCGGAAAGTTACTGAAGCCTATCACGCCTCTCAATATTTGATTATCGTGATAAGATAATCAATTAAAATACGATGCTGATTTGGCCGGTTTTACCTAGATTTTATGATAAACAACAGTAGGGGAGATTATTTTTAGTTCTTCGTTTGATTACATTAATGGAAGGGATTAAGTGAATTAAATTAATGGAATTTATGTTTAGTAAGCAAGACACACCTTCGACATGCATTAACACAATGTTCGATTGACTCGGGATTTTGCTCTGGAATTATTTTCTGATCAAAAGTTTTGTTTTCCCACAAAGATCTTTTTTTAATTATGAACAACAAGTTGACAATTTTAACAAAATATTCTATTTAACCATATTTCTATTCCTAAAAAACTTTTGTAAACTAAAATCAATGTTTGAAAAATGCCTTTATCAATCAGCATTTTTCTACAAGTTTTATTTGGAACTTTCCTCCTATTTTTCTAACTTAATTTAAAAGAATCGTTTGTATTTTACCTAACCGAACTCGAATTTTGTAAGAATCGTAACCGTTCTTTCTTTTCAAAATATATTTTTTTAATAAAAAAATTGAAAAAAATAGTTTGATTTTCGATCTCGACAAAATTGCATTTGAGCGTTAAAAATGTGTGAACGTTTTTTTACAATATTTAAAATAATTTTTTAAATTCTTCAAAATTTAGTTGTCATATTGCCCTTAACAAAAAACTTTTATTGTTTTCGATGTGTGAACTTCACATAATTAAAAAAAAACAAATACAGAGTGTTCCAATGAAAACGAGCCGCCCCAAATATCTCAGAAACTAAAAAAAACGCAAAAGCGCCGAAACAGGTCAATTTTGTTTTTGAGAGGGACATTTTTTGACGTAATTTTTAAAGCACCCCCAGTAACCCCCTAACCCCCACGCATCCCAACTTTAAAAATATAAATGACACTACCCCACTTGTGGCACATCAAATGAAAGCTATTTAAATAAGCTTTTCAAAATTTTTACCAAAATTAAATCAGACCATCCATTGATGAGATACAGGGAGTTCTAATAAAAAGAAACCAGAAAGAATTTGCAAAAAAAAACCGAAACAGCTTAAAAGGGGACATTTTTTTACACACCAACCACTAGTGATACAAAAAATGAAAACACTTTTAAAAGCTTTTTTTCAAAATTAAATGTTTTCTATACATTCAGAAAATATCGGCAAAAAAACGAATCTTTTAGCAGTCAGTACGTATAAAGGAACTTAAGAACTATATTGCTATTTTTAGATACTTACATTAAATTATAAAAAACTTGATTACCCCTTGTCCTTTAGTACGATTATTTTGACTATAAAATAAAGAAATAAAAATAAATTTCTTACATAATACTTATAAATATCAGTAAGTTTCTTGTATTTTTTTAAATAGTTCTTATTAAAACTTATTACTAATTAGAAAAATTATCTTTTTGGGAATATGTTATGAATAGATAATCCCATTCTACTTTAGAAAAGAGGTTTAAAGAACATTTTAAAAACACTTTCATTTGATCTGTCGCAAGTGAGTTGGTGTCATTTGAAATTCCGAAATTGAGGTCGAAAAAGTTCTTTCAAGTTCGTTTTTATTAGAACACCATGTATCTCATGAATGTATGGTCTGATTCAATTTTGGTAAAAAGTTTTGAAAAGCTTGTTAAAATAGCTTTCATTTGATGTGCCACAAGTATGGTAGTGCTATTTAAACTTTTAAAGGTGGGGTGCGTGGGGGTGCTTTAAAAATTACGTCAAAATATGTCCCCCTCAAAAACAAAATTGACCTGTTTTAGCGTTTTTTCTTGTTAGTTTCTAAGATACTCGGGGTGGCTCGTTTTCATTGAAATACCCTGTATATAAATTTCTGCATCCAGTTGTGTTTCATCTATTTTATTTTAGTATTTTTTAACAAAAAAAAGTAGTCACTTAAATATATTTGTTATGTAAGGCTACGAAAGCTCATATCCTCGATATTAAAAATTGTGAATAAAGCTAGGAATTTTCTTGTTTGAAACCTTTGAAGAAATTCCCTCAATCACAAAATAAGTGCAAAAAGACCAAATGAAATTCCAGATGTGGACTAATAACGAAATTATATTGAAAAGTAAACAGAACAAATACTTGACTCAGATTTTAGATTTCTATTCAAGTTTATAAAAATTTTGCAATAACAATATTTCAAAATATTTTCACTGCATTGTTTCAACAAGATAAAATACCTTAGAGATATGTCACTAAAATAAATAAACACGACGAAAATTTTGAGCTGTTCCATTTTTTTAATGATTGAAAATAAACAGTTCAATAGCCGGATAACTAGGTGTGAAATTGGAAAAAGAAAATTTCACGTGGTAATAGCAATAATTGGGTGCTTTGTAAATTTTGTGTTTCATTGTTTCAATTAAACAATTTTTGCTCAAGATCAAAGGTTTTTGCTACAACGAATTTTTCTTTATTACTTTATCCTCCACGTCAAAAATGTAATAAAACACGTGATGATAAAATTAAATTAGTTAAGTGAAGCTTCAAAGACTTTAATAGTTGGGCATTCTTTCACACTTGAGACTTTTAATGCTTTACTTTGAACAAGATGAAATCCTCGATTATAATTTTTTAAAGAGTTGATTGAAGTGAACGTTTCAGAAAAGCTGTCATTACCATTTTGCACATGTCTCCTCTTTCGTGCTTTATGTTTGCATCTGATGTCGATTTTCATTCAAATAAGGAAATTTTCTACAATAAAATTTTATTCTGGAATAAAATGTTGGGTCTTATTAGTATGTTTAGGCTAAGTGAAGCAATTATGTGGTTGAACATTTACACACGATTTTGTAAGAATATTCCGTCAATACTAATAATAACACTCTAATAGTTCGCATGTAAATATTTAATCACTTCATTAAAGTAAGAATGTTTCAATTGAAGGAAAAACATTACACTGAAAGATGATGCTAAAAATGAGACGCTTTTTCTATACTCCGCGCCAATAATTCACGATATGTCGAAACAGTTTACTCCGCAAATAACTCAGAAAAATTATTGATGACGTCTGGTTCAACAATTTTTAGAACTACTTACTTGAAAAAAGCAAGGAAAATAGACCACTTACCTGAATGGCCACCGTAATTTTTTTCCGTGTTTCTCTTTGGGTAAAAATTAAGTACACTAAATTGTTATTGCCACAAACGCAGTTAGATTTAGGTTTTTCTAAATGTTTCGAGGATGCGCTTCGCGCGCTAACTAAGCTGCTAAGGAGTCGCATTGTGCTTTTATGAAATGAAACTTGCGCCTGGCAAATGTTATTAAACTTCATTCAATAAAAAAAGTCCACCTGTTTTTCTGACTCCATTTATTTAAATTAACAACCGTGTGACAGTTTTGATTACAACACTTTTGAGTATAACTCTTCGTTTTCTTAAATTTGAGTCAAACAGATGAGATGTGTAGAGGCCTGTGTCGAAACTGTGGTTATTTGGGATGTTAAAACGCAAAGAAAAAGAAAGTTTGATGTTTAGATATGAAAGAGAATTGCACATGTCATTGCAACATTTAAGTTTTAAGATATTTATGAAACGTATTTCTTAGATGATGCCAAGAAAAATTAAAATTAAGGGGTTTAAATAGGCTGGAACTGCGAGTTTTGAAATGTAATAAAATGTGTAAAATACATTTATTTCATTTATTCTAAAATATTGTATGCATCTTAAATGATATACAGTGTGTGATAAAAAAATTGATTTAAATTTTTATTTTTTGGGATTCAGCTCT